GGCACATCACAGACAATAAGCCTTGGTTAGTATCACCAACGCTTCTTTGCACAAGTTCTTTTGTGTAAAAACTAGAAGGGTGTGGTTGTTGCTTAAGAGTCCACCCTAGAGAGGTCAGCATTTCCTCTCCTGGCCAGGCAGATTCTCTATAGAAGTTGTCAACCCCCGGTCCAGCAGGGGCAGCCTCTCCTAAAGGTGACTTGTCCCACCCTCTGGCCTGTCAGGACCTGATTTATAGTCACGGACACCACAGACCCTATGCCCCATGCAGAGGAGACCCTTTAACTCTAAGGGGAAGAAAGGAAATTAGAGTGAATTGGAGGATTAACACCCTCACTGGGGCCTGATTATACTTCCTGAATTGCATTTTCGATTACCCCATATTCTTACAAGAAATTCCTTTTTCATAGCTAGTATGAGTGGGTTTTGGTGTGTCAGGTCTAAGCCTCACATTTTCCTGAACTGCATTTTTGATTACCCCATAGTCTTACAAGAAATTCCCTTTTCATAGCTAGTATGAGTGGGTTTTGGCTTATTTTGATTCTCAAGTAAAAAAATAACTATGGGGAACCAGCAGTTAGCGTAATGGCTATGTCGCTGGACTCCCACGTAGTCGACCGCGGTTCGTGTCCCGGACCCGGTGGCTTAAAACTCACGCCGGGTGCGTGTGCGTGCGTGCCCAAGATCCCGAGAGGAGAATGGAGGAGAAGGGATTGCGGCGTGACCATCCCCCCTGGGGGGTGATTTCTCGCTTTCTGTCTCTATGTCTCTCTGTCTGTCTGGCGAGCGCACGCGCCCTACAGTGAAAATCTCTCAAAAAAAAAAAATAACTATGGGGGGTGTGAGACAGAGAGTTGGGGTGGAGAAGGGTGGTTACTGAGGATCTGTGTGGGAGTTGGTTGTCTGGAGAATGAAATGAAAAAGCAGAGGCTTCCTCCTGGATCAAGGTGGAAAAATACTGCATCGGATGGAATCACTCCTCAGGGTCTTGAGTAACATGCGTAGAAGCTCAGCCTCAGGTTTTGGGGACAGAGCTGGCAGCAGATATAACTGGAAAAGATTTCCTTCTCTCCCTACCTCCATCTTTCCAATGCCTGCCTACCCTGCTATAGAATGATCCTGGTAAAACAATGCATCTGCTATGTGGTAGGACATGGCCAATATTAGCAGACATTATTAGTCTTATAGATCCCCCAGTTTGAAGAATAGGAATTAAAATCTCTCCTTACACGGCTCTGTAATAGTCTTCCTCTGCACGGGAGAAAAGATGGAGGGGGTCATGGGAGGGAAAACCACGAAGAGCAGAAAAAGAGAAGAATCTCCCAGAGGCCTGAAGGAGGCGTGGGCGCTGTCTAAACTGGACGCTACACGGGGGGGGGGGGAGCACGGAGGTATCTGGCATCGCTCAGGAGCCTGGGTGTGTCTGGGACCCGACTAACAGATCTGAGTATGCCTGTGCTAAATGCTTATTATTACTAACATTTGTAAAGCACCTACACATTTCAAAACAAAGCAAGGGGTGTTGTTCTTTTTCTTTAGGAGATGGAAGAACATGAGGCTTAGACCTGACATAGCTTGCCCACACTAGTATGCTAACACCTTACTCACAACTAGGAAGAGGTAGACCCAGGATCTCAATCGCATCCGTGTGAAACCACAATTCAGAGTTTTTGTTCCACAAACTACATTCTCAGTTTATTCTACATGACAGAGCATCGAGATACAAATATAAAAGAATACAGAGGTTAAGTGAAAACTATTATGTTTATACTATTTCTTTTTTCTTTCTTTCCAATGTGCCAGAAATAAACAGGGATAGAGAGAGAGGGCAAAAGCATGCCTGAACAGGACACACGGTGCAGCCCCTCCTCCATCTCCCCGCCCTGCTAGGATTTTGGGTGTGCACGTGCGCATGCGTGCGCGCACACACACACACACACACACACACACACACGTTCCTCAGGATGTTAAATCTGGGACTCAAATCAAGTTGATGGCCATGTGGGATCAAGCTCCCTTAGCCACCAGGCCATGGGGCCAGCCCCGGGTTTCCACTTTTGATATTAACTCAATCATAAAAGAACAAGCAATTTATGAAATCATTCTCAAGTCTTTAATTAAAATCCATAGAGCATTTAACATGTATAGACATTTAAACTCTTTCAGTGACTTAAATTTTAAAATTCTTTTACACAGCATTTTGAGGCTAACTTCATGCTAGAAATCTACAAATGTACAACTTAACAACACAAAAATACATTCGGAGTCCATTCCAATGCAAGTTTAAAACACTTTAAGTGGCAGAAAAACAATGTAAAGATAGTTTAAAAAAAACCAAAAACTACAAAGTGAGCACATAAAAGTCTTCCCTTTTGAATTTTTAATAAAATACTGCTCTGTATAAGATCTAATGAAAAATTCCAGTTATTTATAAAATAGTTATATATGTGAGAAAAGAAATGAATTAAGATATAGGTGTATATATGTGTGTGTGTATATATAGATGTATGTATATATACATATATATATGAATTATGCTTAATTATATTGTTTAAATAAACAGAATGTTCAACACTTTGATGATATCGCACACCATCTATTATTCATATATCAAAATAGGTGAAAATACTAAAATTAGGGTTAGGTAAAATAAGATATAAGGCTTGAGGCCCCCCAAAACTAAAAACAAAACCCAAACTAAACTAATGACAAGAAAAAACCTCTTAACTGCAAGGGAAAGAAAGGAAAAAAGAACTTAAAGCAAACCATGGACCAAAATCTCACTCCTATTATTTAATGAACAGTATGAGAATTTGGCTTCAAATCACTAAAATAGCTATAGAAACTAAATTATCTAGCCTGGGTAATTTAATAGTATATCAACCACTGAAATGATCAATAGCAATGGGCATACTGCTGGAAAAAATTAATTTTTACAGATTTCAACATGTAAAAATGTATCTATTGGAAACCACAGTCTCCTTCACAAATTGCACTTAAGATGGCTGAATGCATTGATTGAGCAAGGCATTATTATTGGTTCACTGACATACACGCACACACAAACAGCTATGGATTGTTGATATTCTTAACTACTCACATTATTTTACACATGTTTTCCTTCTCTAAAAGAAGTAAATTGTGATGTCTTTGAGATGTTGACTGAGCGTATCAACACTGATACTCACGGCCGGCCTGTCTGCTGTGCCGTGGCTAGAGACCTGATGCTATCTTTAACACTGTCCTTTAGCTCCATGGCAGAAGATGGAGAAGTCCAGTAGATATAGGAATCATGTCAGTCTGAAAATATTCATTTCTTAAATTTGAATTTTATCCTAATTACGAAAAGAAGCTCCTATAAAAAAGGACTGTGTCACTGACAAAGTTTACAAAATAGACATGAGAACACTGCCACAGTTTGACTACGTCACTATTTCTAGAAAAGTAACTAGTGAACTTCTGTGACTGATTTTTTTTTTTGAAAGATAAGAGAATGGCTTGATTCTGTTTTAAAGATAAGAGGATGCCTTTCATAGCATGTCTCACCAATAAATTAACTCTCCTCTACAGTAAAAACACAATTTGGAAGATGGTCCTAAGAATTACGGCAAGCTCAAAAAGCTGGAAAACTGTACATGGCTGCTTTAAAAACAGATGCTCTGCAAAACGGGAAGAAGCATTTATCAGAACTAACTTCAGTGGAGATCTGCAGTTCTGCCCTATATTAAAAACTAGACAACCACTATGAAAATCTGACTTCCTGACCACACATAGAACAGATGATTGAAAAGTGAGTTAAGAAGATGCTATAGCTCATCGATTTCCTTGTGCTAGTATTAGTCTGAGAATGCAGTGGTTGAATGTCTTACTTAACTGGTTTCTCTCTCTCTGCCTCCTCCTCTTAAATCCAAGAAGATAGATTAGTTTGGAAGTATCAGTCTAAAACCAAAGTAAACACCCAATCTTAGGAAAGGAAATAAGCAACAAAAAAATTTGCTTAGATAGTTCTTTATCCTCCGTCTGATAGGAGAAAATAAACACCCCCAATCTTTGCCACTTCTGTCACTGAAATGCAAGGAAAATCTTAAACTGACCAAAGGTTCAATAGATGTGAATTTAATTTTCCATTCAACTAAGTCTTAGATGTTTAAGATTTTAGTTTACATGATGTTCAAATCAATTAATATATTCTACATATCAAATTATAACACTGAAGTGATGACCAGGTAATGCAGAAAATTGTGAAATGGAATAACAAAACTGGAGGATCAATCTTCAAAATTGACTTAATTTGCTCAAAAAAAGAGAGAAAAGACTTATGGAACAAGAATATTTTGAAATAATGTTTTAGTGAGGAGAACATTTAAATAGATTTAAATGCTCTAGCTACATAGATACACAAAGCAATTTGAGGACTCTGTCTTTCTGTACCCTACGTAGCATAACATTTCCACAGAGAGCTCTCAGGTGATTCAACAGTTCAATGGTATTTTCATACTTTGGGGGTAGTCTTAGTCTGCCTCATCCAAAAAGGAAAAGGGTAGTTTCCCCGAATTCCAGCTCTTGTTTAGAGATGCACTAGGCTCCACCAGAATAACTATCAATGGAGCTAATCTCCTCAAGATCACCATTACTAGGTAAAAATGGCCTTTGCATCCTCCACCCTTCACAGGGAGGCCAAATCTCCTGTTGCTGTCAGGCCCACATTTGTAACTGGTCTTCAAGGGGAAATGAATATACAAGAATGCCTGATCACTACCTAGCCATTATGAGACTCTCTTATTTTAATCTCATCAGTCTTTACCTTTGGAATGATATGTTTACCAAAAAAAAAAAAAAAAAAAAAAGAAAAAAAAAAC